GGCCCGGCCGGCCGTCGGTGCCCATCGCCTCCTCTCCTTGCACGTAAAGCTGCAGCAAAACCCTGCATCTTCCTTGCGCTGTGCAAAATCGAGGTGCCAGTTTACCCAGACTGTTATTTTGTTTCCGGACTGGTTAGATACAAACAGCCAGGTCGCTTTTAGCTCTGTCTCTTTCCCATCGGGGTGTTGGAGTTGCGGTTGACCTGCATGAGCTCCTGGAGACCGTTGTAGAGGGGTCTGCAGAGGGGTCTGTGCCCCACGGTCTTGAGCCCACGGGGATACACGGAAAACACGCTGCAGGACACGGCTGCTCTGCTCTCTAGCAACGCTCGTTACCCGCCTGATAAGAGCGGTAGCAGTTTCGTGGAGAGGGCCGTGCAAAGCTGCCCTCAGCCAGGTCGCGCTAACCCGTTTGGCAGACACGTAACAGGCGCTGTCCCCGCTGCGCAGCGCGCGGTGCTCTGGGGATTAGACAGGCGGGCTGCGCCCCGGCGGATTTACGTTATTTAAGGCCAACAGATAACAAAGCTCCCATGAAAAAAAAACTGGCGCAACTGGAATGTGGAATCCTAAACAGCCAGATGGAAGCAAATATATTTTTACATTAGTTTCTAATTTTCCTGCTTTTCCTTTCTTGTCCTGTGCTAGAACCCCAGTGGTTGAATTGCTATAAAATGTGCTATTGAACTGTTCCCTAACGCTTGTGTTGTGTCGTAAACACAAATGCCCTGTGTGCTGTGGAACTAAAGCTGCAGAGCTGAGATTTAGATGGAGAGGAGAAGGATGTCCGTAACGCTGAGCGTGTCGACGTTTGTTTCTCACCAGGACTTGCTGTGGCCACCAACATGCAGCTCCTGAATCTGTTGTGTGTGTAAAAGCAAGGCTTGTAGTGGACTTATGGCCAGCCATGAGGGCTAGAGCTGAACACGGGATCCGGGAAAGAGAGGGGACCAGGAGAAATTCAGAATAAGTTTTCACATGTTGTTTAACCTTTACCATAGTGGATTACGAGAGAGCAGAGAGCTGACAATTTTCATCTGGAGGATTTTCAGAGGTGGTGGCTTTTTGTGAGGTGGGGTAATGCGTTCGTGACATTCGATGACAAGTAACGAGGTGCTTCCTCTGCGACTGTGCTATATTATCCGCGGGTGCCAGAGACCCCCTGCTCCCTTCCAAGTTATCCCTGTACTGACCTGTGTGCGTGGGAACAGCGCAGCTGACCTCCGGAGGCTGTTGGAGCGTGTGGAAGCCCTGCAGTATGGCCCGAGCCGGTGCTTTCCACACAAGCGGTGCCTCGCGAGCGCAGGTGGCTGAGGAGAGCACCCGTGGAGAGCAGGAGCCGGCGACGGAGCCCGGCGCGCGCTGCCCGATCCGCCACGCTCCTCGCGGCACCGCGAGCCGCCCGCTCACAGATAACCCACAGTGTCAAATCATTATTTGTTTTCTGGAGCTAACTTGGCAAAGGCTCTAGCCCTTTTGCATTACTCGGGTGTTAGATGATTGATGTAAAACACTCTGCGGCGGCGCCTTGGGATGGTGTGGTTTGATCCAGCGCATGGGATGGATACGGTGGGGCCCCAAGCCGAGGCCTGAGCCTCCTTGAAGCCTTCTGCACCAGGAAGCGCCGCCTGGATCACCTGGAAATTGGGATTAGGTGGCGTAGCAGCCTTCTGAGCATATTCCTCTCATGTCCAAACAGTCTTTCATGCTCAGATTTGAAATGAGCCTCGCTTCTAGGAAAAAAATAGCAAGGCTTTTAACAGATTTATTTAAGTCATAAGTTGGTTGAGGCATGTTTTTTACTTGAGACGTTTGAAAATAATGTGATGTCTATGACTAATGTAAACCCACCTAGGAAACAGTGGGCGTGTGAAATAATAAATACATATTCCTTTTAAAGTGATATTTTCTTCCCGTCTCACTTGTTGAAGGCTTCCATGGATCATGAATCATTTTGTAATGGGAGGTATGTATGGAGAACATAAGGAATGAGGATTTTTCCGTTTGTTTGGTTTTCTTTCAGTAAAGCTGGAGAAGAACCATATTGCTCAAGATTTAATGCAAATGCATTTTAAATCCATACAAGACCATAATGTTTACTTAGGATCTGGGAAGACTGAAGTGAAATACCAGGGAAGATGTCAGTTGCCACCTGTTAGCTGAGCTCGTGTTTAGCTTTTGGGTTGAAACAGAGTTTTTGTGTGTGCAGATCACAACTAGAAGCTGAGAGTGCTGTGTCTTTTAATGTCAGCAGTTAGAATTAGCAAAGTCCATGATTCATTTCCTTGGTAAGTTACTTGTAGTTTGCAAAAGATGTGTTTGCTAACGATAGTTAAAACTGATAAGAATGGCAAGGTAATTTCCAAGGTAGGTTGATTTTGCTTCTTTCATTTTGTCTGTTCTGTAGCCATGTAAGTTGGAGAGAAAGTACCCCTTGTCTCCAGGGGAAGATTTAAGAGAAAAAAAGGTGCAAAGCAAAGTTAGGTCTGGTTCTCAGCCACTCTTTGTATTCACTGGCACCCATGGAGCCCCACATTTTATCTGAAATGGGACTAATTTGGCTCAGCAAGGTCCCTGTTGCAGGTGCCCGAGGTCTCAGTGAAGGTGCACTGGGAGCTGGCCTGTTTTGCTCTGCAGCACCTGCATCTGTAGGCGACGGTTCCGATCCGGTAGGTGTGGAAGGTTTTAGTAATTCTCTCTAAAAACGTAATTACAGAAATGAAGTATATATTCCATGAAATGAAGTATATATACATTCCAGCTCTGAATTCAAAGAGCTTGGGAGAGATGATGCAACGGGAGCGGCCTGATCCCACGTCGCTCGGCAGGGGCAGAAAGCGCCTCTGCTCGCAGGGCTCCTGGTGCCGTCCGGCTGTCAGGGTCGTGGCCGCCTCTCACTTGGGCTTCCCTGCGGCTTTTCCCTTGTCACCACAGCTGTGTGGGGCTTGAACGTGGGAGCAGATGTGGGAACGGTCGCTTAGGCCCTCGGGGTGTTAAGTGCTTGGCAAGAGCGGTGGCACCTCTCTGGGGCTGGCACCGTACTTTAAAGGTGGCCACGCTGAGAGCAAGCACTGAGGTCTGTTGTGTTTGTGTATCCTGGGTCTTTACCAGTGGAACTCATAAGAAAAATTAGTACTGTCAGCTGCTGCCTTTTTTTGAAGCTGATAGACCCAAGTTCGATATATGAGGGCACAATGATTTCTTTCGTTTTGATCACAAATATTTAATATTCTTCATATCACAATTATTTTTAAAAATATTTTTATTACTGGTGTTTAAAATACTTTGCAGATGCTTATTACAGGAAGGCCCTATGCTCTGGCAGGTATTTGAAACTCAGCTACATCTCTCTAGGATTAAAACCTCGTTCTTCCATGTTAAAACCGTAACCTTCGAGCGCCGCGGCCTAAGGACGGCGCGTGGCTGCGGTGGGCGCCGGGGTCTAGCCGGAGCAGGGTGATTCCATGCAGGAGTTAGACGAGCCCTGCTTCCTCGTCCTGCGAGGCGGTGAAGAGCACAGCCTGTGCTGTGATGGGCAGAGAGATGCTGTGATTTTTTGCTTTCCTGCCTGTATCTCAGCAGGTGGAGGGTAGTTGAGACGCCGGTGCCGCCCGCGCTGCCTGCGCCTGAGCTGGAGGAGCCCTTGGAGGCCGTTCCCGGCGGGTGAGGGGCCCCGCGGCGCGGGGCCGCGTTGGCCCCGGAGCTGGCAGGGAAGGGGCCGGCACGGGGGCCGCGCGCGGGCAGCGCTCCCGAGCGCGCCGGGCCGGGCAGCGCTCCCGAGCCGCCGCTGCAGCTCAGCTAAACAAACCGAAAGCGCTTGCGGGAGAGAGCAGTCATTTGCTCATCAAGGAGGGGGCTGCGGGGCTGGTGCGTGGCTCGGAGCTTGTCATTATTTCTGCTGATTTAATAAGCTGATACGGAGCGATAGGGATCTGCAGCAGCATTGGGCAAGAGTCAGGGTTTCATGTCACAGTAAGTTTGAAGGGAAGCATAAGTCAATAAAATAATTATCTTTTCCTTTGAGGTTGGCAGAAATGCTTTACTTGTCTTCCAAAGGCCAAAGGCAGCACAAGGGAGAAGTGAGGGGTGTTTCAGTGCAATGAGATGCAGCCGTTCTGTGGATAGCCAGGTGACTTGCTGGGCTGCTCTCCAGTCTAGGAAGGATGCACTTTTTATGGCTATAAATGGCTTGCAAAGGTTATGATTTTGTTCTTCTGAAAAAAGTCAGTGGTGTCATCTCTTAAAAAAAATATTGATTCTTTTTCAGGCTCCCGCTTAGCTACCTGCCTTCTAAACATCTCCCCGAGCCCTATTGCCATAGTAACAGCCCAGGGAGGGCTCGCTGCAGTGGAGGATCCCGCGGTGGGATTTCTGTGCAGTTCTGCCTTTCATGACGGAACCTGAAATAAGAACTGAAATGCATTAAACATTGATGGGGGTGCTGCTGAGTTATACGTAAGATGGAGCTTGTAGTAATCCTGGTTTAGTAGCAAAAATATGTGTGTGTACTGCTTTGTGCACAGGGCATTCAAGGGAGGTTTGTATTGGGGCTGTTCGTAGCCTAAAGGCTGCTGTTGGGGGAAAGCTTTTTTTTTTTTTAAAAAAAAGGCACAAAAGATCCCTTACTAGGTCAGCAGCCAGGATGTTAAGTTTAGAAAATTTGGAAGAATTAGATGTATTATGGAAGTATTTTCTCCAAAATTAAGACTGGAAACACTTGAAATACTTCTGTAAACGTTGAGCTTTAATGCTGCTGTGCTTGTATTTATATTTGATAGGTGTCAACTGGGGGAAGTGACAGAGAGGGGCAGTGTCTCTCCCAGCCAAATTCCTGGTGATGTTTTCGGATACTAAGCGTCCCTGGGTCTTATCCCATTCTCTCAGGCAACTGTTTGGATATTTCAGTAATCCTGCAAAGAAATAACTCAGCTGAACTTTTAGTAACTGCACGTGTTGCTGCAGAGACTGTATTTACTTTCAAAGGAAAACACCAGGAGCCGTGCTTTAAAATCTAACACGCGTCAGTGAATCAAAGGCAAAGTAAGTAACAGCCTCAGCAGAATGGACTTCAGTCTAACACGGCTTCGGTCGGGGTCTGTCTCGGCGGTGGCCCGAAGGGCAGATCGCCCTCCCAGCCGAGGAACACGGCGCCCGAGCCGCGTCCGCTGGTGCCAGCCCAGCGCGCCGGAGGGTGCAGGGCTGGTGCAGGCCGGGCACAGCTGGGCCCTGGGAGCCCCCGTGATCCATTCTTCCTGTCACATGAACCCGCCCTGCTTCGCTAATAAGCTCTTAGCTGCGTTTTAGATGCCTGCAATCATTAAAAAGGCTGGAAGGCATTTGTGTAGCTTGTCCATTAGAAGAAAAGTCTGTTTTCTATAGCTGTATACCTTACAGAGCCTCCAGCTCAGTCTTAAAAAGTAACTTCATTTTTTGTGCTGTTACTGCTGGCTTGGAATCACCAAATTTAAGTAAGTCCCGCTTGCTTTCTTCCATGTAATTTAATTGTAAGAATATGTATCTTTTTAATGGCAGAAGATTGCAAGAGTTTGTAATATCCTGAGGTTTTTGTGTCCATTTTTGTTTCATCTCTGGCAGGGTTGTAACATTTAGTGCTTTCCTTTCCCCCTCTGCACGTGTGGGTCGTGTGTTTTCTTTCATCTTTCTTTTGAATATTAGGGATGTAGCTGGAAATTTTCTGCCATCCCACTGTGAAGACAGTGAGTCAGGTAATGCCTGCAGCACCTGGAGAGCATCTGCAGCACGCTGGAGCCCTTCCACATTCATAACTGCCTGGGTCCTCCGTGCACAGCAGCAAAGGTTGTGCGGAATTTTCAAGGACTGGCTGAAAATGAGCCTGGTGGAAGAATTTTGGGAAGTTCATAGAAAGCAGAGCTGCAAGAGACTGAATTAATGGGCTTGACCTTTCTGCATTTTACTGGATTGTTGTTACTCCTCTGGCATTGTATCCAGGCCCTCTGGTATTTGTGCCACATACTTCTCCTCTCTTGAAAACAAAAGCAAGTCTCCATTGTTAGCTGATAACTATCCCCTTTCCTTGCTCCGTAGTAAAACGAGTGTGGAGGGGGCACGTATAGGGTCTGGATGTCAGCGGTGTGGATGTGGGGTGGTTGTTTCGCTGCACAAGTCTGATAAATGTGGATGTGATTTCACATGGATGTGAGAGACATGGGTGTGGTTTGGTCCTTTGATCCAGAAGGGGAGAAAAAACATGATGCAGAACAGTTATGTATAAAAGAAGACCTTCCTTTAGGGGTGCGAGCTGGCCCTAAGATAAGCATGTAGAAGAAGAAAGCCAGAGTTTAGTAGTAGTAATAATAGCAAAAAAGCCCCCTCACCCCACTGCTTAAATCCTTGGGAAGGGCTTGAATGCTGCAGTGGGAAAGGCCCTCCATGCCTCTCCAAAAAGAGGAGAAGGTCACGGATTGCTCCTGGGTGCTAGTATTAGTCTGCATGAAGGGGAGCTGGTGCGACCTTCAGGAAGACATTGCAAAGTTGCCATTGCTTGAGGAGTGCTAGCATTAGTCTGCACGAGGGGGAGCTTGCGTGACCTTAAGGAAGGCATTGCAAAGTTGCCATTGCTTGAGGAGGATTATGAAGGAGGGTGGTGTCTCTTTACCCAGGAAAGTGATTCAGTCCCAAGGAAATTTTTTGATAGGATTTGCTGTTTACAGACTTATTTCCTCTGTTAATGGGATGGTGTGGAATGGAAAGAGGAGGGAATTTGGATGGCAGCTGATGTGCAGGGCGGCCCCAACGTGCCCTGCTCCGGTGCTCTCGCGCTGGCAGCGGCTGTGCTCGATCCAGGGCTGTGCCTGCGCCCTGCTCCGGTGAGCGCCGCGCGCTCCGTTTGACCAGCCCTACAGTTATTTATACGGAGTCCGTGGGAAGCGCAGCGTGTTGAATATGCTGCTTCCTTTCAGTCATATGGTGTGAAAGGGTGAGGGGAAATGGCAAAATCTGTGCTTGCGTGTGTCGTTATGTAATATATCTACTGAAAACAACGTTCTTGACGAAGCCACAGGCGGCCCTGGTGTCTGCTCTTGGATATCTCGCACTATTTCCTCTGCTAACCTCAGGCAATGGCAGCTCCTGGCTCGGGTGAGCTTGGGAATTGCAGGAAGCTGCTGGGAATGGGCAGGTCGGAAGAGATGGAGGCTGTGCCCTACCTGGCATGGGGAGGACTGACTTGCAGTCGGCTCCTGGCGCGGGATGCTCCAAGCAGGGCTGCCCTGCAGGGAAGCAGGACAACCCGTTACAGCCCCACCGCGCGCCAGGACAGCCCTGCGAAGACAGCACTGCCAGATGCCATTGAAACCAGTGCCGATTTCCTACCTCTGGGGAGACCTGGGCTGCGTTTATCCCTCTCGTAAGACTGGGATTTCCTTTCCCTGTCTCTCTCTTCGCCTGTTAAACTTTTCCTGGATCTTTTCAGTTGCAGAATGAAGAAGAGCCGAGTGAGACGGCCCCCGTGGTGAACGATGCCCCTCCGCCCTACAGCAGCATTTCCACGGAGAACGCAGGTAAATCCAACCAAAGGAAACACCCACGTTTGTTCTGCTGTGCTTTCCTACTGCCTTAATTGTTCTCCGTATTGACCCAAGGTATCGCAGCTCTCTTATGAAGGCTGGAAAGGATCGGAATTGATCCGGAGACTGTTGTTACTTGTGGTTTAGGAGATGCAATTTGGCTACATTGATCTGATGTCATCCCGCAAAACGGTGTTCAAGTTGCATTTCTCAGTGCTCTTAGTAGATTCTAGACAGTTAAAATCAAAGAGCTGTGAGGATTTGTGGTTCCCTCTCATTATTCAGCATTTGAATGATACTCTGCTTCTTCCAAAAAGGACTTGTTATTTGAAAAGGATTAAATAATTTACTTTTTCTGCAGTTTTCAGTATCCATAAACTTGGTCATAAGGGTTATATTTCTGAATCATCATACTCTCATATGACTCACTAATAGCTTTAGTGAAACTTCCTTTTTGTGCTGGTTATGTATTTCTGTTTAGGTAAATCTCTTCATTTCTCCCTCCGGACCATAGTCAGCTATTAAAGGTTTCGGGAAACAAATGGAACATATTGTCATTCTCTCAAACAGCCACTCAGCTTTGAATATTGTGTGTCTTGAGGTACTCGCTGAGCTACTGGCACACTGCTTATAAAGATATCCCCATTAATTCTCATTCCTTAGTGCATCTGAGAGATGGGGCTCAAAAAAGCTTCATTTGTTTTTTTGTTCCGGTCCCTTTCCCCTCCAGCAGAAAGCCTTTGGGAATCTTCCTCTGGAAACACCGGTCACCAGTGACCCGAGGCTTCCAGTGATTCTTTCTTGACTCACTCCTCCCACTTGGACTTGGAAAATATGAATACTTCTGTCTTACTGAAGCCATGAGAGGCACAGCATGCATTGTTTTTAAAACAAATGTAGCCAGACTTGCTAAGAGTTCTGTTCACATTGCTTTGTGTTTGAAAGGGCACTCGTGTGTTTTTAGCTTTTGGGGGGGAGGCCATGTGGTAATAGGCTAGAAGAGTGCAGAGGGAAGGGTGGTGCAGGCTTGGAAGTTTTGGGGTATTAGCGTATTTAAAGTCTTCTGAAATGTTTCTTGTTCCAGCATGACATTCTTTGGGATCTGGCAGATGATGTCCTATATAATTTTCTTTTGCAGCTTATTTTGACTACAAGGATGAGTCAGGATTTCCAAAGCCTCCCTCTTACAACGTGGCCACAACACTGCCCAGTTATGATGAAGCAGAGAGAACTAAGGCTGAAGCTACGATTCCCTTGGTTCCCGGGAGAGTAAGTGCCCTGGGCCGGCTGCACGGCTGCCGGCCCCTTGTGCAGACGGAATGCTTTAAGCCTTGTCCAGCTTATATCTTTTATAGCTTTCTAGGACAGTGATACTGCATGCTCTCAAGAATCCTCTGGGTGTTTGTATTTATTTATTTATTTTCCCCAAGCAGTTACAGTAACATAAGCCACCTCGGTAATGCCAGTATGTGCTCTGCAAATGGTCTGGCAGGCTGACAGAAGCACCGTGCTCTATCTGTGTGCACTGCTGGGTTGGTTTGTTGCTTTGTTCTAAGATGAATTTTCAGGCAGCTAGCATATCTACCATTGATGCTCCTTCCACTTAATACATTGACTTTGGCAGAGGTTACTGTAGCTTATAGAAGAAGGATAAAGCCATTCTCTTTGTCAGAATACATACGTGCATAAATATGTGTGTGCATATAGGTATATATATAAAGCCTTTTGTTTTCAACTTCATCCCTTGTTCCACCTGTTCCCCAACCCTGCTAGCATCAGATACTGAGAGCTAGTTAAGCTTCTTCATATGAGCTAGATTCCTTGCTGAGGTCATATCTTTAGTTTTTCTGATGAGAGGGAGAATTCTTTATAGTCAGAAAAAGAACATGGCTAATTTTGGCTACCCTAAAACATTACTGCCACTGACTTGTTATTTCATGCCCTGGGGGTGGTTTCCTGCTTACATTTTAAGCCTCTGGAGACTTAGGATTTTTTTCTCTCCCTTAAGAGAAAAAATGTAAAATCTGCATTTTGTGTCCCTGTGTTGTCCACCGCTCTCTGCAAGCTTTGCAGTTTGCTGGCCCTTGCCTGGAGAACCACATGCAGACTTTGTTTTGCTGTATGGATTGAGCTGTCTTAAATCCTCTCATCGCCTTTGATTTGCAGGAGGATGACTTTGTGACACGGGATGACTTTGACGATACTGATCAGCTGAGGATAGGAAATGATGGCATCTTCATGCTAACTTTCTTCAGTAAGTACACGATGCAACTTCATTTTCTGCAGTTGGTGACCCCAAGTAGCCAGGGTAGTTTCCCACTTAGTTTTATGTAGCACTAGGAAAGAGCTGTGTGTTCCGGTTTCAAGGAATTTGGTTTTTCTTGGACTGCAACGAGGCCCTGACCTGCTGCCTTTCCCCTGCTTTCCCAGTGGCATTCCTCTTCAACTGGATTGGATTCTTCCTGTCTTTCTGTCTGACCACTTCAGCTGCAGGACGATATGGGGCCATTTCTGGGTTCGGTCTGTCTCTTATTAAGTGGATCCTTATTGTCAGGGTAAGTTGTTTAGTGCAAAAAAATGCATGCAGAGATGCTACTCTCTTCCCTTTTGCCTGCTGCCCTAGCTTATTTTTAGTTCATCCATGTTATTAAAATGTATTTTGAGCCCTTATTCACTGAGGGTAGAACGTTTTTAATCATGCTGCCCTGCTTATATGGTCAGATGCGGGGGTTATTATTGTAATAAACGAGATTAAAGATTGCATCCCCAAGTATGTCTCTTTTTAACTAAATTATTGTATTGGATCAAAATTTGCTTGCATGCTGAGCAGTAATAAAATTCTCATCTTCACATAACATTTATCCTGGTAAAACAAGTGCTAGGGTTAGCAGGTTTTTTTTTTAATCTTTTCTCCTGTAGGATGTTTTTCGCATGCTACTCTGCAACATAAATATTCCTTAAAATGTGGGGAGTTCTATGAGCATGACGGATGAAGGGAAGGAAACAGGGGCTGGAAAAGGGGAAGTGTGAGTGTGTGTGTGCTGGTGGAGCAGGGTGCGTTGAGCAGGGCCTGGGGAAGCTCTCTGGAGCCCTCTGGTGCCCCGCGCACGGCTGCGAGGAGCCCTCAGTATCCACACAAGCAGAGTCTGTGCCTACCCACTGTGGTACAAGATCCAGCGTTTCCCTCCTCCCCTGGAGCAGACAGGGAGGGAACGAGGTGACTGGGCAGAACTGGGGTGTGTGACAAGAGCAGAGTAATGACAAGTAACAGTTGTCGCAGTTCTAGAGGACTTGATGCGGTTACTGCCAACATTGACTTGGGTTGAGAAACTGTCAAATGCTCTAACTTTTAAAAATATTTTTTGTTTTTTTAGTTCTCCACCTATTTCCCGGGTTACTTTGATGGCCAATATTGGCTTTGGTGGGTTTTCCTTGTACTAGGTAAGTGTTTTGTTTGGAGAGGAAGAGGAATTGCCTGTCTGGAACTGTAAAGTGCAATAATGTTTTTTGTTTTGTTTTGTGTTTGTGTGTGAGCATAGCTTTACCGACTATTCAAATACTCATGTTTGGGTGTAAAATAGAAATACAGCGCTGAAAATACTTATCCCATGTTCTTACTGGGGGCTTTCTAGATTTTAAGGTACATGTAGACACTGTGCTTTTGTTGTCATTTCTTGGTGGCAGCATCTCAGCTCAGAAGGAGGAAAGCACAGGATGGTGCTTGTCTTGATAGTAACTGCTGGTGAATTTGTTCTCTTAAGTGGAAGAGTATTTTGACTAAATAAAATACAGGAGAGCAGCCTGTGAAAAGGTCATATTTGAAGTTGGTGCTGTGGGTACCAAAAAGGGCTGGTAGTGCCAGTAGCACCAACATCAGCTCATGGGCACTCAGAAGTTTTGCAGTGGGCTGGAGGACTACTTGGGAAATTTTGCTTTTGAGATTGCATGAAATTGAGAGATTGGGTGTCACCGATGCTAAAATGTTCTTATAATCAAGCAGCTACTGCACATCCCATCATGCTGGGGCTCTCTGTGGTGGTAGTGTTGAGCTGAACTGCTGTTTCTCTAGTTGTAGAGACAAAATCTGTGTTAACCGGACAAATGTGTTTCTTTCATCTAGGTTTTCTGCTGTTTCTCAGAGGATTTATTAATTATGCAAAGGTTAGGAAGATGCCAGATACTTTTTCCACTCTCCCCAGAACCAGAGTTCTCTTTATTTACTAAAGGTAAACTTTCTGCTTTCCTGATTATTTTTTTCTGTTTTCTTTTTGACTCTGTTTGGTGACTTGGGCTTCAATATTTTTAGAATACAGTGTAATAGAAAACACATAGCCCTGTTTCTACAGATCGGCTGGGCAAGAGTGCATATTGATGTGGTTGCAAGCAGAGAAATACTTGACATTTTCTCCAATTTTTGCTTTGAAGAATTTTAGACTCATTAGGTTCCTTGAGTTGAATTGTAAAAACAAAATCTCTGCCCCTTGGTACAACCCTATTTTTGTCAGGTGGGTCCTTCTGAACAAGTAACATGCCTGAAACATATGAAATGTCCTAAACATGAGTAAAGGTCACAATGAAACGTGGGTAGAAGATTATGCTGGTGTCTTTGGCTTGTGTCCCAGAAAAAACAGTTTGTCTGAACTCTGTATGCTGTTAGGATTGTCTGCCAAGTTCCTGGTTAAATTCAACCCTTGCACGCTTTTTCTCCTTGGAAACCACTCCCACATATTTTGAACATACTGTCTTACCTGATCATTAGAAAAAAAAGTGTGTAAAAGTTGTTGCAGCTGAACCTTAACAATTTTACTTTTTTAATGGGATCTTAAAAGTACCTGTGCCCTTCCAGCTTGATTTCCTTGGTGCAGCAGATGATGGCTTTGCATTAACTGTTCCTCCCCGAGGGCAGGGAAATCCTGTAATAAGTTGCTTCCCAGATGGTGAGCGCCATGTGAGGCTCCCTTTAGAAGCATTGTAACAACATTAGATTTCCCCAAGATAGAATTGAAACAGTTGGAGCTGCAACAGTGGTATAAGGAATGCAAACAAACCCAGGCTTTAAGTTGGGTGTCATTACATTGCTCAGAATTTTAAACCAAGGCTTAATATTCCAAATCTGCTTTCTTTTTCTTAGAAAATGCAAAAGACATAAGGGTCTGTTTCATTTTCCATCTGCAGTGGGCACAAACAAGCATTGTGCTGGCGTTTGCAGCGGGGGTTTCCCAGTGCTGGTAGTTCTTACTCAAATTATTTGTTTGGTTGGTTTGACAAAGTGTCTGCTCTGTGGTGGGCTTTCCATTTGAACCCCCCCAGGATTTGTGGTGGCCTCTGAGATCCTGCCAAGTCACCAGCAGGTTTGATTCCCCCGGTTGTTGGATTGCATAGTTTGAGCATTTAAATATCAGCAGTTTCACCTGTAGTTCATTCTGCCCAGTGAGCACTTTTTTTTCTTCTTTATTGAATGTTATTTTTTATTTATTATAGGAACTGTGTGGTTTCTTACTGCATAGTCTTTAAGGCCCGTTTTAGGAAATGCAGATTATAATGGTAGATACCTTAACTGAGCCCTGGAAAAAGCTCATAAGGTGTTTTTTTTTTTTTTTTTGTCATTTTAGCGCTTTCCAAAGGCACTGTCTCCTACAGATCTATTGAGATTAATGTCCAGTATCATGTCTAAAAATTACGACACTTCCACTGAAAATAAGTCTTTAATCCTAAATTCTGAGAGAGAAAACCACAGAACACTTAGACTTTTTAACTCTTCAGGAATGTGAAACGTGCATAAAAGTGCAGAGCCCTGTGGCACGGCGGGAGCTGTGTCGCTGCACAGGAGATATTTCATAAACCTTTAGACATCCTGCACTCTTTGTGAACTACATCCTCTGGTATCCAAAATAACAAGCTAACTATAGTGTTTCACTGTCCAATATCCTTCTCCAGCAGATGTTTTCTGGCAAATGTCTTCCTGCGCTAGTGAATTCTCCCTCCAGCAGTAACAGGACACCTGCAGGAAGTGAATCAAGCCTCTGAAGCAGAAGTAAAAATAATCACCTGCTTTAAATAAATAAAAGTACTGTTGGAAAAAAAAAGGAGAAGAATTTCTTTCTATTTGTTTCTAGGTGTAAAATTTTAATAACTAATGCAGAATTCTGTAATCATTGAATCATTAGTGGTTGATGTTTGACAAAGCTATCGCGATCGAGTCTGTGACGTGCTAATAAAGCCTTATCTCTCTAGTACCTGTAGTAGCTTGGGTAGCGTGAGCGGCGGCCCCGCAGCCAGCAGGGGACAGTGGCGCTGTGTCTCGTCCCTGTCCTCCACGGGGACGAGCTCCGTGCAGCTGGAGCAGCGCTCCCTTCCCAACGTGGCGCAAGTATTATTATTTTTAATAGTCTATATTCTAAATGTTCTAGTATACTTTACTTTCATACTACCTACTTTTTGGACTATGTAGGGGTTTCCACAGTACAAGTTGGTAGTGTAAAGATGAAAGGTCACATTGCAACTTTGTATAAAAAATTATCTTGCGAAAAAAGGCCTTTTTTTTTTTTTCCCCCCCTTTGGCGTGGGACTTCTGAGACAATTCCTAACATACCTGTAATTCTTGCTTTTATAATTTATGTTAGCAGAGACTATGATGTGTTATAAATGTAGATTTAATGTGCACCTTTGTGCTTTCTGCCAAGTGGTAATTCACTTTGGAGTTTTACTATGTTAAAACTGTAAATATAGCAGAACATTAATAAATGTCACTTATGTAGCAATGTTTGCTGTAGATTGTTGTTTAATTTCGATGATATACTTTGTTGTTTCTGGGTGTTGACTGCAAATGCAGGTTATCTGTGGAAAAGCAAAGAAATGCCATCAGAAGGTACAAGACAGACGTGATTCGCTTCACCTCATGGTATTGTCCTTGCTTTTCAGGGCCAGGTTTTCTAGGGCTGAGGTGGTGCTTCCTTTCAGCCTTCTTTTATGTTTTTTTGTCTCGCATACATAACTTACCCGCTTTGTGAAATGGTTTATTCATAGTTTTGGCTCATGGCAGGACTTCACAAACGTGTTGTCCCAACAAGCCAGCAGCTGGACCGACAGATACGCGGAGCTTACGCAGAGCCTTCCTTTTCAAACACCAAGAAGCCTACACAGGGAGAATTATTAAGTTTATCCTGCAAGGCAAAATCTGGAGCTCTGATTCACATTTGCCCAAACTTGGTAGATTCGCCTGGTGTTTATTCTCTCGGCATTTGGGCCTTATTTGGTCTTGTGTATTCAGAGAAAAGGAATATTTGTCATTCCTGCCTCGCCAGAAGCCTTGGACCCTGGTGCTGCACGTGCTCCTCCTGGCTACCCTTTCCCTCGGCAAGCCTGCGCGAAGGGCTGTGGTTTCCCCATGGACCCACTGTTTCATTTTTTACTTCTATTGGATTTTACACAAGGTGCAGGAAAAGAAGTGATTTCCAGTTATTTATAACCTGTGGGGGGCTCTGCTGCCCCTTTGCCTCCCCCTGGCCGCGGGTGCCAAGGGCAGCGCATGCCTGGCCCAGGAAAATCCCGTTCTCAGCAACGTGGCTGCAGTGGGGAGGGCCGATGGGGAAGGCAGCCGTCCTCGTCCTGCTTTCGCGCTTGCTTTTTGCTGCTGTTTGCACCGAAGGGACCAGGGAGCTGCAATTACAGACCCAGCAGCTCTCATGGACGCCCCTTGAATCTGGAGGTCAGAATCCCTCCTGGTGCTCCCAATAACGCTCCCAAAGCCTCCAGCTGCCGCGTGCTGCAGGCGCCGCTCCGCAGGGAGCGGTGTCACCGCGCACTGCCCAGGGACACCATCCGTGCGGCCCTTCCCTGCCCCGCGCGGGAGCCTTGTGAGGATGGGCACAGGGAAAGGGAAATCACCGCAGCGGGCACGGAGGCCCCCAGGGTGACTTTTCCCTGCAGATCCCCATCCGCTTCCCCGGGCGCTCGTCCACTTTCCCTGTGGGTCGGCGCAGGACAGGGCTCGCCGCCACGCTGCGCTGTTCCAGCTCGGGGGCTGCTTGGGCCACCGAAGCCACCGAGCGCCCTGGGCGGTGCAGGGAGAGGAGCGAGGCCCCGGCCTGGAGCACTGGGCTGGTTTTGCCCACGTTTTCCCTCCGGACGCGCTCGCGATGGCAGCGCCGGGAGAGGATGCACAAACAGAGGCCTGGCCCAAGGACACGTCCTCGACTGCCCCATCCGTGGCCGGGGAAGGGCACACGGGAACGCGCTGCTAAACCTTGGCCGCTCTCGGCTCAGGGGTCTTTTCCTGCTTCAAAGAGGAAAGAAGGAAGATTTTGGGTGCACGGGAGCAGGGCTTTGCTGGGATGCCTTTTTTTAATTTTTTTTTTTTTTAAAGGTTCTTGCAAATTCGGTACTGGAAATGCGTAAGTCTATAAATGTGCTTAGCCAAGGTTTTATTTGCCGCTTGGATGAGATGTTCAGTCTGGGCCTGGTTTGAGGGAATCTGGGTGGCTTCCCTGGAAACCATCGGAAATTCCCCGTTCTGGGAGGCTTTGACTTAAAAGAAGCAAAAAGGAGAAGAAAAAAAAAAAAAGAAAAGAAAAACCAAAAGGAAAAGAAAACAAGGCTGCGAGCGTTGCCAGCCTGTGCCTGGTTTGGGTTTGTGCAGCCCAGTTTGTCAGACAGGCCCTGCAGGCTCGGAGCAAATCCCAGGCAGACAGCGAGGGGCCGAGCAGCTCGCCTGGCCTTAATGCAGCATATCTATCTATATATGTATGCACATATACATGTATATATATATGGAGACCAAATGTCAATCAAAGCCCACCTCGGAGCTCCCTCCAGCATGGAGGTCCCCATTCACTCCCTGCCCGTCTCACTCCTGGCACCTTTCCCGGGTCTCTTCCCCCCGGATGGGCTCCCCAGGGGAGGCCGGGATGTTGCCTCTTCAAACAGAGTTCAAAAAGCGCCGGAATTTTTGTTTATAAATAGCTCACATCCTCCCGCTCGGGGCCCAGCTGCTATTTATCGCCCGCTTCCCCCCGACGGACAGCGCGGAGCATCGCGCTTCCCACGAGAGCGGCGCGGCGCGGGGCTCTCCGAGTTCCTCCAATTGTCCGGGTCGCTCTGGGTTTCCGCTGCTGCTCCCGGCGCTGCTGGGAGCCGCTGCCGCCTCGAGCCGCGGTGGCCGCGTGCGTCCCGGGACGCTCGTGGCTCTGCGCACGGGTCGAACTCAGCCGCGCTGCGCAGCCCGGAGCAGCACGGCGTTTTGCTCCGGCTTTTCCCGACGCCCTGGTGCTGCGGTGGAAGAGCCAGGATGTGGCACAGAACGCCCCAGTTTTGGACTCCAAGAAGAACCTCGTGTTTCTGATTAGGACAAGCTGAGTGTGTCACAGCGTGGCATAATCACAAACATCCCTGGGCCGCACGCCTGCATGGGTTATTCATGAGCACTTCTCCCTGCACGGACCTCTATTTATTCCTGGTTGCAAAGGGAGGGGAAAATGCTGAGGAATTTCCTTGTTGGCGCATCTCCCTCCCATTGCTGCAACACATAAACCCTCTGAGCTGCTGTTATCCTTCGGGAAACCTTGGTGCCTTTCTTAAGCATCTATTTTAACCAAGTATGTTTAAAGGCAATCGCAAAGCAAGCCGTGTGTTTCCTTGCGGGAGGATTCCGGATGGGTGCGTTGCTTGGGGGAGGCCACGGCGCTGCCAGCCCCTCAGGCCGCCCTCCTGGGTCTGACCTCCGAGAACTTGGTCACTCCGCGGAGCTGGCGCTGAGCTGGGCGGCGCTGAGCTCCGTGTCCGCATCCGCGACCCGAGCGCCTGGCTCCCGTTGGGCTTCTTTTGGCTTTCCATGGTTGGAAACGGGTCCGGCCCCATCCTCCGGCCTCTGGCGTGGGGGAAGTCGGCCCCGCTCCAGCGTCATCCCAGCTGGAGAGCGGCACCCTCCCATGGCAGTGGGATCATCCCGGCTGGGGTCACTCCCGGGGGCTCAGCATCGTGCGGCCGCTTCGGCGCTGCCCCATGCCTGTGTTTGCCGCGTAATTGCTATGAACACCTGCTTAGATTTATTTATTGGAAAAAAAATGCAGAAGACATTTGCATATTTAACAAAATATATATTTTATATATATATATATTTTCAGGGCAGTTACCTACAATGCTGCAACTTTATGTAGTTCAATCTTGCTTCATTTTGCTTTCAGGTAGAATTATATCTGCAAATACAGACATTCAGAGTTATGACTGCAAGCCAGAAAATGACTGCTTTTGGCATTCTAATCAGCAAGTGAATATAATCCATAAAAACTATGGATACGAACCACAAAATGTTATTCATTAATTTTGTTTATGCTTATTTAATACTTTAAAGCTATTTAAATCTACAGTTTCATCGTGTGGGCCTGCAGCCCCCGTCCCAGCTGCGACGCGAGCAGCGCCCCGGGAGACGCTCTGTGGGCTCTGCCTGCCGCGTGGCTAACCGGAGAGGACGTTTCACTGCTGCTGCTGTGCATTTACTGAGGAAATTTCCTCTAATTACAAAAAAGAAAGAGACTGGATGAGTGCTGAGCATGCAACAAGTACCGACCTCCCTACGAGTGCTGCATGTTTGCACGAAGGTTTTGATTTAGCACCTTGTAGTCATGGAGGGAAGGAGGCGGCTGCTGCCGGGTTTCGGTAACACCAAAGTAACCCCTGGGAGCATCCGCTGCTTTTGAGGGACACGCTGGCATGGAAGAGGCAGGAGGTGAAGAGCAGCAATGGGAAGGGGCGGAGGGGCTGCACTCCAGCACAACTGCCCCATGGGGAGAAGAGAAAAAATTATCCGCCTGCTTCCCGAGCAAGGAGCCTGCTGTGGGAGGAGAGGTGCCAGGCGGGTATCCCTATGAAATCCCTACAAACACCTCCAGGTGCCCTGCATGCAGGTTTCTGTGACTCCTGGCAGGCTGCGCTCACTGTGCACCAGGCGCATGGACCCTGCTCTCCGGGGCCGGCTTCGTCGCTCGTGAGGAGCGAGGGCACAGAAAGCGCCGGGCAAACCGCGATGCTGCAGATGGGCCCTCCAGAGAGACACCGGACGTGGCCTTCCAGTGCGGAGGCAGCAGCCCCAGCTCCCCTCGGGCCTGGGAACCCTCGGCCGCGTGGACGCGGAGCCGTCGAGTTGCACGCTAAGAACCCTCAGCAAATGGGCTGCGGGTTTGCTGCTGGCCCGAGGTCTCAGCGGGACAAAGACAACG